AAAAGACTTCTAGACTTAACTGACAGATTCAGTAGAGTAGCTGGATACAAGGTCAACACTCAAAAAACAATAGCCTTCTTGTATACAAATAACAGACTCACTGAGAGAGAAATTAGGGAAACAACTCTTTTTACAGTAGCATCCCCAAAAAATCAAATATCTAGGAATCAATCTAAAGAAGGAAGCAAAAGACCTCTACATTGAGAACTACAGCACTCTGAAAAAAGAGTTCGAAGAGGATATAAGAAAATGGAGAGACATCCCCTGTTCCTGGATAGGAAGAACCAATATAGTGAAAATGGCCATACTTCCAAAACTGCTACACAGATTCAGTGCAATTCCGATTGAAATCCCAACAGCATATTTCACAGAACTAGAGAAAGTAATTCAAAAGTTCATCTGGAACCAGAAGAGACCTGGAATAGCAAAAGCAATTCTAGGCAACAGGGTCATGGCAGGGGGTATCACAATTTCCAACTTGAAACTGTACTACAAAGCCACTGTGATAAAAACAGCATGGTACTGGCAAAGAAACAGACCCGACGATCAGTGGAATAGATTAGAAGATGCAAAACCAACTCCAGACATACTCAACTACCTCATCTTTGACAAAGGAGCCAACCATCCTCACTGGAGGAAAGATAGCCTATTTAATAAATGGTGTTGGAAAAACTGGATTTTAACTTGCCAAAGATTAAAACTAGACCCTTATCTTTCACCATGCACTAAACTTAATTGAAGTGGATTAAAGATTTAAATATTAAAACAAACTAAACTTGCTGGAAGGTAAGTTACGTAGAACTCTTGAAGATATTGGCATAGAAAAAGCCTTTATGAACAAATCCTCAATAGCATGGGAATTAGCACAAAGAATCAACAACTGGGATCTCATCTTATTAAAAAGCTTCTGCCCTGCAAGTGAAACCACAACACAGCTAAAAAACAGCCTACAATGTGGGAAAAAAATTTTACCAGCTATTCCTCAGACAAAGGTCTACTATCTAGAATATATAAAGAACTAAAAACAATCAGACCTCCCCCAAATATAAAGACCCAATTAAAAAACGAGCATCTAAAATGAACAGACATTTCTCAGGAAA